GCTGCAGCGCGAAATCGCGGCCCCGCCGGCCGCCCCAGGGGCTCCTCGCCCGGCCACTACCACCGCCCCGCGGCCTCGCGTCCCAGCGGCGAGGGACAGATTGCGCTCGGTTCGGTTTATATGCTTCACTGGGGTGGGGTGGGGTTTTTTTGCAAATTATTTATTTACTCAATGCTATTTGAAGGACACTAAATAACTTTTTTTTTTTCCTTTGCCTTTAGCATGGCTTCTCTCCAGCAGTTTTGCCAGTTCTTGGCACGTGTTTTTTGGGGAAAGGGGTTGTTTAAGAAATACGAGAAAAGCAATGGCACAGCAGTCTGCTCATTGGGATTTCAAATGGGGTGGGTAACACACGGCCTGATTTGGGGTGAGATTGTGCTGACCGCATCCACAGGTCACTCCCTGAGGGCAGCAGCAGAGGGGCTCCGTGCTGGCTCCACTGCACACACCAACACCTTTCATCTTGTTGACTGCTGTGAGGTTTACTAGAAAGACCAAGATTCCTCATTTCAAATTCAGCACTGTCAATGGAGTTCAGAAAAGGCCTGAGCAGCCTGTGAACATTAAACCATGTTAATCTACAGGGGATTATGTTGAGATAACAAGAAATTTGATTTACCTGTGCTGAGCACAAAGACTGGCCGATCGGAAAGGTAATGACTGACTGATACCGGCCCTTTTGCACAGCCTGGGTAATAAGGCAGAGAAGCCTGCAGAGTCATACCTGGCCACAAGGAATGGCAGGGAAAGGAGGTGGGGGACTAGCATGGTAGCTGTAAGAACCTATGGATTCGATAAAGCTGCAGGTTTTGAGGAGAAGAGACCACGACAATGAATCTACACAGTTACAAAACTTGGCATGAAAGACAAAAAACTTGTCACTATCAACTTTTGAATTAAGAATTCAGGGCAAACTGAATACACACTGCTATGGGAGTTCAGAAGCATCAGAATTAAAATCCTACACCTTAGTCATCAGCACCCTGTATAAAAATGGTCAAACAGCTCAATGTTCAACATTCAGAGAAAAAAAAATATTGATGTTCTGTTGGTACGGTAAGTTCTACGGTACGTAATATCATTATTAGTCCTGCATACTGCCTGGCAGCCACTGAAGCAATAGTGCCACACCACTAAGCAGTAATTGCCACAATACCATTAAAGTTGTATGTCAAACATCTGGTAGGTGTTAAAGAGTCACTGTAAGGTTTAGATTGTAACATTTCATTAAAATCAGTTAATTCAAAACACACTGAGTCGCAAGAGATATGTAATCACTGAACAAAAAAATCTAAGTTGGAGAAAGGGAGTGAATACAGTTCAAGAAATGTTTCAAAATTGACAAATGCTACAGAATTTAGAAAGCTTCACTGGAATGAAGCTAACAGGTAAGAGGAAACAAACCACAAAAGCAAACCTTTTATGCATTGGAAGATACAAATGTGCCAAACAGCTGCCTCTGAAAGAATCATCATATTGTCATAGTAAAAGTGAACAAGAAGATACAACCAAACTAAATTTCAGAAAATGTTTTTCAGCAACTTTCATTGATGAGGTGCAATTTCTATACCAGACCTGTTACTTTTTGGTAATAAGAAGAAAGTGGTTTCTGAGACTAGGAAGCAGACAAATTTAAAAAACTGCAGTAACACTTTCATGTCTCATGATCTAAAAATATAATTGAAGGCAGACTACCTGCATTTTGCAAGGAAAATAAATCGGCTTAATAGGCTACTACTCCACTTTATAAAATCCTGCTGCAGTTTGGGTGATACTTATTTACAAGTTTAGGAAGAGTTTAAGAATAGGTTAACTGAAACATTAAAGCATGCAGTCTCTGGTTTAAGATGCAGTCTCTGGTTTAAAGCATGTCAGGAGGTGTAAAGTGCAGAAAATGCCTGGTTTTTAAAAAATCTTCTAGGGTAACATGAGAAATTATAAGACTGTAAATCTAACATCTGTAGAGGAAAAAGTAATTAAACACCGTAACACCTAGAAAAGCATGATCTGAAAGTGTCTGACTAGCGCTAGTCTTCTGCAAAGATAATTACGTCTCAATAATCTCTTACAGAAATCCCTGAGAGGCAATGACTATATAAGAGCTGGCAGGCTTAATTTAGACTTTCAAGGGTTTGGCCAAGTGGCATAACATAGAGCTCAGCAGAAACCTGAGTCCTCATTGAAAACCTGCATGCCAGTGCTGGTTTTGCTACTCAAACTACCTTGTTGACAAAAAATGCATAGCATCTGATGATAAAAGTTTAAAAATAGTCCAAGAGACTTTTGACACAAAAGGCTACTAAAAAAAAAATCCTGGGTCAGGGATAAAATATCAACATGGACACAACGCAGACGTGCATTTCTGTTAAGGGCAAAAGTTTAATGATGGATCACCTCAATATTCTGTTTAGATACTGTTTTGCAGGGGTTAGTCAACTCTGGTACTATATCACCAGTTATATGCAAGTTAAGCCTGCAGTCCATATGAACATCTGAAATGCCTCTTTCTGCCCTGATAGTCTCTGAGCTTCAGACTCTGCTGAACCATTTATTTATGAACTGAAAAAAGGAACAAGTAGAAAATCAACAAATATTAGAGGAAAGTTGAGTCAATCAGGATCAGAGAGACAGCAAGAACTCAAGTCTAGAAGGTAAATGAATGGGAAAGCATGATACCAGAAAATACAATAAAGATGGATAAATGCAGGGAAATTGAAAGTATAAACATTAAAATGGGGTTTACAGGACTCATACAGTTTCTTACGATGATGATTTGTCATATGAGGTTGTGATCACGAAAGTCAAGCCAACAGCATAAATAAGACATAGAATAATGACAACAATACAGAGAATATTTAAGTACAGTTATACAAAGCTGAGAAATAGTCTCATTTGGGATGCGCTCTATATTTCTGGTCACCCTAGCTAAAAACTGACTGAAACTGCAAAATTATGAGGGCCTAAAAAAACAAGGAAAGAAGATGAAGAAAACTAGCAAGAAAAGAGATTAAGGAGACTGGGATCATTTATCTTAGGAGAATCATAGAAGGGAAACTATAAAAAAGTATCGAAGTGAACATTTAAGGACAAAGGATGCTTAAAGTCTTAACACATGGAGATTAAACAGATTATGATTCTACAGAAACAACATTTCTGACTGACAGCTCATATTCACATTTCTCTAAGTTTTAAATTAATCTTTTCCTGTTAGAAAAATGTTATCCCGAGTTCCCCCACTCCATTTCAACTCTGCGGGTTTTCTGATGCTACAACTTCTTAACTACCTGTGGACATACCTCCAAAAGCTTTTGCTGTTTTGCAAAGATAAAGGGCAAACAATTACCGATACTCATTACCTGAGAAGCAAGCCGATTACCCAATAGGAAGAGATATGCTCTCCAACTGCTGGCTGATATGATTATGGACATCAGGAATTTGACACCCCGCTCCTTGTGAGCTGCATAGCATAAGGAGAAATGGGTATTTTGAGCCGTACCTCTAACACGTGCGGCTGGAGTCACGCAGGTATGGCTTCTCCATACCTGTCCTCTGCTGTTCCTTTCCAGAAAGTTCAGTGTAACAGAGTAGCAAGGCTTCGGTAACCGGCCAAATGGCCTTTAAACTCCCAGGCGTTTTTTCTTTTACTAATTCTAGTTAAGTGTATTTTTTCTTTTCATCCAAAAGTTGCTGTCAGTTAAGAGGTGAATCTGTGTAGTATTTCCTGTTCCGCACGCAACGCATTTTGTTAGGGATATTAGCGCACTATTAAGGGCAGGACAGCGGGACACAACTGCCGGGCTGGGGGTGCTCCTCAGGCCTTGCCGGCCTTGCCCAGCCTCGCCTGGGGCCGCCGCCTGCACCCTGCCCCGGGGCCCTCAGTTCAGCCCGGGGCTGTCGGGAACCGGCAGCTCCCGGGCACTGAAACGGCGCCCTGGGCCGCCAACCGGGGAATGGGGGAAGACCCAAATGGGGCTGGGGAGAGACGAGGGACGCCCCCCCGCGCAAGGCCGGGCCTGCGGACGCCGCCCCTCCAGCTGCGCATGCGTGCCGGCTCTCGGCTGCCCTGGCTCCGGCTCCGGCTCCTGCTCCCGCCCCCGGTAGCCGGCGCTCGGCTTTCCCTTCCCTTCCCTTCCCCGCCCCTCCCACCGCGCGGCCGCAGCCGTGGCACGGGTCTCGCAGGGACGTGGCGGTTCCGGCGGCGGCGGCAGCAGCAGCGAGCGGGGGGTTTTTTCCTCTCTTCTCTTCCCT